CTAGCAAACATGAAACCAAGTTTAAATAACACAAATACACTACAGATGAATCATAAGAAGCCGACTAAAAGACAGCAACCCTTCATCTCCAAGTTTTTCAAAATATGCAAACTACTCAAAAAATTAAAATTCTGAAACATTCAATCTTCAGTATGCAGGAAAATAACATTATTTATTATTATTATTATTTTATAATTACTCTACTCTCATAATGTAACAAATTTATAGCAATTGCAACAGAACCTTATCTATTTTTTTGGTAACCAACAGAACCTTATCTATTACATATTCACCCCGGATAAGATCCAGTATACGTACATAGATAAAGCCTTTTTCTGCAACATCAACTATTAAATATTCACCCCGGATAAGATCCAGTATACGTACATAGATAAAGCCTTTTTCTGCAACATCAAATCCTAGAACCCCATTTCCAAAGAAAACTGATTCAGCAGATAACATACAAGTGTTTAAATCACCGCTAGGAGTAATTAAGGAACAGAGAATTGTATAGACAAAAGAACATGCTAAAACCCTGAACCCTAATGATTAAAATTAAGGTGAAACATTGAGAAAAGGTCTTGAACTGAATTGAATTACCAGGTCAAAGGATAGAAGAAAATCCAGTTTAGCGGTTTTGAATGGATTTTCAAACAAAAATTCCCATTTGAGACCTAAAAATATAAAAATGTTGTTTTAGTCCTTCATTTTGTGCCACCTTACATTCTTGCATTAGGTTAATGTAGGGATGGGCGTTTCCGCCGGCCCCAAGGGGATCCGGCCCGACCCGGCCTGAATGAGGTGGGGAATCCTTGAAAATATCAGGAATGGTCCTCAAAAAAATCCCCGACCCATCAACCCCGCCCCTGTGGAGCCTTGCCCTGCCTCCTTTTATTGAGAATTTTATGTTTTTTTTTTCTTTTGCGAAATTATATATAAAGTTAGAGTTTAAATCATGGTTTTAACTAGGGATGGCACAAAGTCCGGCCCCGTCAGGACCCGCCCCGAGCGGGGCGGATTTTCCCCGAATTTTTTGGGCTTCGGGCCAAGATCGAGCCTAAGATTGGCCCTCGGAATTCGGGGTCGGGATAGGTTTTGGCTCACCCCGCCCCGCACTGTCCCCGGCCCGTATATTATATATTAATTTTAATAATTGAAAATCAATCATATATACCTATAATAATTTTAATATTTGAAAATTAATTATACATTATACAATAACAAATTATAATTGTGTAAGTATTTTATGAAACTATATACAAATAGGTAATAAATAAAACTAGATTAAATATAATAAATCATTATATATATATACTATCTCTATATCTATATATATATATAGAATATATATATTATATATATATATATATATATATATATACATAATATGTCAATATTATGAAACAAAAGTTATACATTCGACATTATATATTATACAATATATATGATAACATTTAACATTATACATTATATGGTATACTTGACTTATGCATTATATATTATATATGATATATATTAATAGTATAATGTATATAAAATATATGTTACATTATAATTTATACATAATATGCTATTATTCTAAATCTTCGTATACATAATATATATGTAATATATATTTGTTGTTTGATTGATTATAATGAATCAATAAATCACTATAATTTTTTTGTCCCTCATTGAATCATTATTTCAATTCTATTACCTAATTGTCTTTGTTATATGTGAATTGTGATAGCTATTTATTTAGAATTTAAATATATATGGTAGTTATATTTAAAATTATATAATATATATGTATAATGTATCATATTAATACATTATATTATGTATTAAAGAGACATTATATTTAACTTAACTTAATACAAATACATAATATTATACTTTAATATATATTATAATTATCATTTTGATATTTGGATTCATTATAACATTAATCAGGGGCGGATCCAACAATTGTTGAGGACTTGAGGGTGCATTTGAACAAAAAATATTAATATGTATAATTTCTGGGTTTTGCCCTACCCTAATAGAATTGTTAATTATATATTTAATTTTTTTTTGTTCTTTACGTTTAATATGTATATTAATAATTAATTTTTTTTTTTTTGTTGATATATAATTTGGAGAAAATAATAATAAAAGTATAAAACTTAAAATAAAAAAACCTCCAAACGGTGAATTCGGGATCAGGGAACGGGCTTTTTTCAGGGATTTCCTGAACGGGCTTGGTCGGGATCGGGGAATCCCCTTGGGCTTTCAGGCCGGCCCGTGCCATCCCTAGTTTTAACTTTTAAGTAATGTATCTAAATTATGATATTTACTTATAATACTTTATAATGTTTGTATTAAATTGTAGAAAAAATAATTTAAACAAGGGAGTCTAATAATTAAAATAGTATTATTACTTTTTGAATTTCACAAAATAATAACACATGCCCCCAAAATAAATGTGATTATATATACAATACCAAACCATATAAGAATATACACAATTGCTTAACGACTTACAAATAACACAAATTCAATTATCCTTGTAATTAATTAATTGAAAATTCCCCGTTTGGGGATAAATCCCAATGGGGGGAATTTCCCATGAAGCCCCGTTCATCGGGTTAGGCCAGGACGGGGATGGGAGTGATTCCATCCCACAGATAGGGACGGTCATGAGAATTGTCCCTGCCACTGAGGACGGTATGGGAGTGGATATCGAGGACGGGGACGGGGAACAGGGTCCCAGCTTTGACCGCCTCGCGCCCATCCCTAGGTTAATGGCTTGGTCTCATTTCTCTATAGTAATAATGGTGGGATCAAATTAATTTTATTACTATGAGAAGATTATAACCTAATAAGATATAGTTAAAAATTGTTTGACTTAATATCCTTTGCGCATGTGGTATACAGATAAAGTATGTACTGCATTAATAATTATTAATTAATAGAGATGCAAATCAAGGTATAGAGATTAATAAAAGTGATAGACATACTTTCGTGTCAAGAAGCTCTAAACATACTTGAAAACCTAGTAATATTTTGGTTTTAACAAGAAAATGTCAATGCTGGTGAGTTTGTATCGACAAGTTCAAAGATGTATGAACAGCTCTAAAAAAATAAATCATTATCCCGAACAACTTTAGATAAATATTTTTATTTCATCTTAAACGTTTAATATAACATAGTATATATTTTTTGAAATATACAAATAGTTATTACTATGTGGAGACAAGTTTTTTAAGATGGGACCTAAAAAAATTATAACTTATTACAATGTGGAGTTTCTTCTTATTTATAATTAACCAAGTTAGGCCCATAATTTTTTATAACTACACAGAGATTATTCTTATATAGAGTATTACTATAAAAAGTATCTATCCCACCCAAGCTTTGGCAAAATTGTAAGTTTTCACCCCTGGTTTCATAAATTTCATATTCCCACCCTTAAATTAGTAGTAAATCGTTTAATATAACGGTCAAATGGTAAAATGGTCATTTGAACTATATTAAATTTGAAATGAAAATAAAAATTTCAAATAACCCTCCATATCTCAAATTTCTCTCACAAACACCCTAAATTCACAAAAACTCACAAGAAACCCTAGGAGAGGTCGCCAACGATTGGAGAGCTAACTCGGTCGAGAATGTTGAGGCTTTTGAAGAGGAGAGGCCGGTGAGTCAATAGGTGGTGAGAGATTGGATTTTGGTGGTCGGAGTTGGTCAGAAATGGAGGGACGGTTTCGTGAGCCAGAAATCGATCGAAATCTGACGATTGGCATGGTCGGTGGGGGTGGGGTAAAAGGAGTTTTGGTGTGTGAGGCACGAGGAAGAGAATGGTGATAGTGGGGAAAGTCGTCGTTGCCGAAATAAGGCAAAAAAAAACAGGTGGTCGTGACCTCCTTAACCTCCCTTAGATTAGCCAAAATCTATTGTCAACGACCTTTCCCATCACCACCATTTTTCTCCCCACTGTCCCCCCACCAAAACCCCTCTCATTCCACATCTGTTTACCCTATCGTTTGCCATTGGGGAATTGGTTGGGAGTTTTGTCGAATCAGTGGTGGGTAGGTTGGTTATGGGAAAGGTTGGAGATGATGAGGAGTCACCGATCGCCAGGAAATTACACACAACATTAATAAAAAAACCACAATAGTCAGTAGGAAGCTGCAATAAGTGGAAAAGGCCACGAGATGCACCAAATTGGCATAAAAACTTGACTGTTATGCAAAAAAAAAGGTGATAGATAGCGATCGGTGAGCAACCATAGTTTAGGGAAGTATGAGTTTTGAAGAGGAGAGGCCGATGATGTTGATGGTGGTGAGAGGGGGAATTTTTTACGTTGAGAATGACCAGAATTTTAGTCCTGAAAACAAGGAAATCACGCGAAGTTATAGCAGGTGGCCAACGTCGATCGACGAGCAACAATGGGCAGTGATGATATGGGTTTTGTTTAGGGAGAAGTGGTGCATCTGATGGTGATATGAGGTGGGATTTTGGCGTGGGAAATCGGCGAGAATCAACCCTGAAAGACTACAAATCGTAGTGGAGGCGGAGGCTGAGGCAAAGAGGAGTTGGAGAGATTTGAGATGTGGGGGTTAATAATGTATTTTACTAATTTGGAGGCTAAAAGTTGCTAACTGTGTTGGTTTAAAGGAGGGAATTGGAATTTATGAAATAAAGGTGGAAACTTGCTATTTTACCAAACCTTGCGTGGGAAATTGTATACTTCTTGTTAATCTATTGATACATTTCAAAAATATTTGTAAAAATTATTTTCAAATAAATACTAAAATGTTAAAAACTTGTAGTAATCCTAACATTAAAAATGTGTTCTAATCTAGAAATATAATTATTTATTTAAATGGTAATAGTTTAACGTACCATAAGATTTTTACTTTCAGCTTCAAAATGTGAATAAACGATTCACCCGGCCAGTAAATTTCCCGAGAAAAAAAAAATCTAAAAACCCTGAAATTTTCTTTATGGTCTCAAAAAATCTGTTTATGTGGTGGCTTAACCAGACTTCTGCGATTCATTGCCCTCTCACTGAAACTCTTTGATGAATCTAATAGAATTAAATCCTAATTTATTGCCTAATAATTAATTAATCTCTATTTGTTTTATACCAAGTAGAAGTGAAAGAGAAAGTAGTTTAATAATAAAGATGCAAGGATATTCAAATGGCGGAGGAGGAGGAGAAGGTGGCCCCGCCGACTTGGCGAAGCTGCAGTCCATCATGCAATCTATCGAGATCGCCTGCTCTAGCATTCAGGTGTCCTTTTGTTTCCGTACACTTCCTTTTTTTTCCCTTGGCTCTGTTTGTTTCTCGAGAAAATGCAAGAATTTGAGATTACTTTTTGTTGTTCCCTAGAAAATGAAGTGGAGTATTAGAATCAACTACAACTAACTTCTTTTGATGTAACTATAAACTATATGAGTAGATTATGTTGTGTATGATATATGGAAGAAAATGAAGTTAGATTGTTTGTTGATGGATTTTCGTAAGTTTATAAGGTGTTATAGTGGTTTTGAGATTGCCTGTTGATGGAGAGTTTGTGTTTTATAAAGTACACATGTGAATATGCAATTCTTACTAGTACGTATTGCTGTTGTGGCAGATGCATGTGAATCCAGCTGCAGCTGAGGCAACTATTTTGGCCCTATGCCAGTCACCTCAGCCATACAAGGCGTGTCAGTTCATTCTTGGTAAGTTGATTAAATGTCAGATGGTGAAAAATAAACCTAACACATTCATTTTGTGGTGTAATCGTAAAAGTGTTGGATTGCTTAGCACAAGTGATTGGTTTCATATCTTGTGAACAGCCACTTTATCCACAGTGGCAAAAGTGTAGAATTGAGCCCTAAACACCCGTCTGATTACCTTGTGTTGGAGGGACTAACATGGATAATCACTTTAACTTATAATTGATGTTCTTGTAAAATCATATTTTAGATAGTGTAATCAATGAAGAATCGCTGTTAGCCATTATGAAAGTGCTGACACTAAACGTAATCATATTTCTCATATGGTTTTCTGGTGAGTTCCTGTTCAAACTTCAAACGTTAGATGCATACATGAAGTTAAGATTTATTAAAGTATCTGAGAGAACAAGAAAATCACTTTTTGAATATCATGTAATGTTTTTGTTGTTTCCCCAGCCACTTGATAATACAATCTCTAACATTCAGTGGATGGAATTTTCAATGTATATCAACAGAGAATCATATTGTGGTCATATGATGTTGTCAATAGTTAGTGAAGTGATCTGTCAGTTTTAGTCAAGTTAAACATGTTGTGCATTTATGATCTGCTGGTGTTGATACTAAGCTGTCTTTGATATTTTGCATTCTTTTCTTTTTCTTTTGGACATTACAACTACTGGCAATAGCTATTTATTTGAACTAAGAAACAAACTTCTAAAATATACATGCTTTGTGTATTCTACTAGCTTTGGATGTCAGTTCTATTGCTCCTTATGACTGTGGTACATTCCAAGTTATAGCTTTCATCTTGTTTCTTTCTAACTTAGCAAGTTTAATTAGATAATTTTTTTATCTGAATAGAAAACCTAAATTATTTTATAAAGTAATTGTTCTATTTTGTGAATACAAGGTTTTTTGTTTTTATAAATAGTTGTTACATTTTATGGCTTTAGACTGGAAAGATAGTCTATAGAAATTGTTCTCAAAGTGAAGGAGAAGTGGAAAGAATCTGATTGGAGAAGAAGGCTTTTTTTTTTTTTTTTTAAAAGGCAAAAGTCCAAAAACAGTAAATTATTTGGTTTTAAAAAGAAAGGTGCATTAATGAATGTAGCTGTGATTAGTATGGGACCAACTGGATGTGAGATAGATGAGATTTGGTTGCTTGCATTAAGAGATGGCATTAATTTACTTGGTTTCTCTAGTTGTAAAGAAATGGAGTAGACTTTATACTTTATGAGGTATGCTATTTTTGAATGATTTAGTTCTTAAGAAATGTTTAAAACCTTTTCTTTGCTGAATTCCCAATCTCCTAACTGTTCAATTTATCTGTTCATTAGGTTACAGTGCTTATACATATTGATGATACTCTCGTCATAGTCTGGTACTAGTTTGTCTATTGCATGGATTTTGTTTGATAGTCTGAAAATGTTAAACGATCAAAAGTTACCTTCTACTTCTAAATCTCATGTTGGATTCAATAAGGTTGTTCACCTAACATTGTGTAGCAGCACTTTTATTGATAATTTTGGTGTGTGGTTATAAGGGATTTGACGATTCACAAGCCAATCTTTCCTGCTTAAAAGTGGTTTCTGTTTATGTCAGAGAATTCACAGGTGACAAATGCAAGATTTCAGGCTGCTGCAGCAATTCGAGATGCAGCTATGAGAGAATGGGCATTCCTTACAGCTGATGACAGGAGAGGCTTGATAAGGTAAATTTTCTATTTGGATATTAAATGTGTCTGTAAATAACGAATGCAGATCTTTGTATACATACCTTTGGTCAGTTTCTAGTGAGCATTATGATCTTCACATCGGATAAGTATCGCATGAAAGTCTCTTCTTTATTCAATTTGATTAATGCACTATTCACTCAATTTGTTTATTGGTCATGCTACAAATAATATATCTGGTTTGCAGTTTTTGCCTATGCTTTGTTATGCAGCATGCTTGTTCGCCAGAAGGTTATGTCCAAGCAAAGGTGTCTTCTGTGGCAGCTCAGTTGATAAAAAGAGGATGGTAAGCTACCCATAAGTTTATTTTAAACTTCAAGGTTAAGATGTAAAAAATGCATAAGCTACTTGTAGTGCTGATGATGGTATCTTTACACGTCATCTAGCTGCTTCATGTTTCTGTTTATCCAAAAACCCAAAAGAAGGGAGAGAGCTTTCAGGATTAGGATTTGTTTTTATGTTTGCAATATGAGGTTTGGTGATTTCATAAATATGATATGATTTAATCTTTAAATCATGGGAGCTATATGGAAACTTTTGGGTTGGTTTGATTTTACTTGAAGGGGGACCAAGTTTCATTTGTATAAGGGCGCAGGGTTCCTGAGCCCTATGGTGAGTAGAAATATCGTCCTCATCCCCAACTTAAATAATTTTTCCTCTCTTTGCCTTCGGCCCCAGACTTGTGGATGGTTTTTTGACAACTAAAATCTGGTTTGAGTGCTTCTTAGGCTGGTAAGTTATTAAACAAATTGTTTTGGTATTGTTAATAAACTGGCCATGTATTGGTGGCAGTGGGATTATAAGTGATAATGTTGATCTCATTAAAAAGGATGGACCCAGAAAGGAAGGGTGGGATCTAGCAGCAGAACACAAAATATTAAACAGATGATTTGAAGTGAAATGATAATTTTCCCGAAGATATTATGAATTTGAGGATGAGTTAGTGAGGAAAATGGCTGCTTTGTTATTTGCATCTACGCAGTTCATTAAGATTTGAGTAACATTTTAGCTGATGGTTGTATAGAATTCTATGTTAGCCATGTAAGAAATCGGAATTTCTATTGTAATTGTGGCTATATATTTTCTGCAGGCTTGATTTGTCTGCATCTGAGAAGGAAGCATTTTTTAATCAGGTACTGTTCTTCCCTCTTTAATATCTTTGTATCAATTATAACTTTTCCAAGCGTTTTCCCTAAGAACTTATGTTTCTCTAATATTATGGGTTAGTAACATTTTGGTGGGCCATCAATCAGAATTCTTGTCACAGTAATTATACAGGCTCTGCCCCACCTTTCTTCTGTCTGGGGCAATGAGTTGATATTTTCTATAAATTTGTGACCGAATGTAATACCAGATGTTAGTGACTTATACCATTTCTGCACATCAATAATGTGTAAAAATGCAATAAGTTGTGCTCAGAAAATTTAATGACAGGAGGCAAAAACAGTCACAACAGGCAGATATTCGCCATGGAGAATTATAATCTGGAACTCCTAAAATCCATAGGGGAATCAAATAAAAAAAAGAATGGCTTTGTAACTGTTTCATTAATATCTGTAAGATGACATAGCAGCCTTTTGCAAACCTTATTTTACTTGTTATGTCAATCTGGATACTTTTGTTGGTTGGCTTGTGTAACTGTCTATGGCTTCAGGTAAACCAGGCTATTTACTGTAATCATGGAGTAGATGTGCAGTTCATTGGAATCAATTTTCTGGAATCTTTGGTACATGTCTCCTCAATTCTTGTTCTTATCTGCTCTTCACTATCTTACATCATGTTTCCAATTTTAAGGCTAAGATTCTGCTTGGCAGGTATCTGAATTTTCTCCGACTACTTCAAGTGCAATGGGCCTTCCTAGGGAGTTTCATGAGCAGTGCCGGATGTCGTTAGAGCAAGACTATCTGAAGGTTTTCGCATGACTGTTGGCATTGTGTTTGCTACGAAGATTATTGATTCTTATTATATTGAGAGTTATCCCTTAAATGATAGGGCATTTTTGTTCATAAGCTTCCTTAATCATAATCTTTTTATACCCTGATCTTTTTCTTTTTTTATTTATTTATTTTTTGTATGTTATGAATTATAGACATTTTACTGTTGGGCACGAGATGCTGCTATAAGTGTTACAAAAGTAATAATTGAATCTGATGCTGCGGTATCTGAAGTTAAAGTTTGTACTGCTGCACTTCGTCTCTTGCTTCAAATCTTGAACTGGGATTTCCGGTATAACACCAGTGGCACAAAAATGAGTATAAATGTTTTTTCAGCTGGAGTCAGGCAAGATAGTGCTTCAGCTAAGAGAACTGAGTGTATCTTAGTGCAGGTAAAAAATTTGCTCAAAATCTTTTGATTGGTGACTATGGTCATGATGGTGCATAAAATAGAAAGGTAACACATGGACTTAAGCATTCAAAAGTAGTAATTAAGTGTCTGGTTGCATATGATGGTAATAATAACCCATTCTTGCTTATAAAGCTCTTCATGATCTTATGTCAGTAAAATAATACCTGCCAAAAAAAAGCCACTTTTAACAAAATTATAACCATTATAACTTTATCTTTTGTATCACAGCTTGCTCTGAAGAAAAGGTTTTGCGTTACATTTTTTTAATGTGATTCATGTGACAGTTATAATTTTGTTCTCTACACATATCAGTGATACATGTTTATGTTGATTGTAGCCTGGTCCAGCATGGCGTGATGTTTTAATTTCAAGTGGTCATGTTGAGTGGGTCTTGAACTTATATGCGGCACTGAGGGAGAAGTTTTCGTATAAGGGTTACTGGCTTGACTGTCCCATTGCTGTCTCTGCTAGAAAGCTTATTGTGCAATTCTGCTCCCTAACTGGAACCATATTTTCTTCTGGTATGGGTTTCCACTCTTTATGTTTACCATCATGTGTTATATTTCGTTGTTGATGTTTGCTTGGCACCCTCTTAACAATGATATAGCAAGCTGTCAATTTAATTAATGCTTAGAGAATTTGGAATTCTTGGTATTACTAGCTTGCCTGCTCAGTCACTCTTGATGCCATAAACTTGCCCTTAAAGGATGCAAGATTCACATTTATAATCAAAGTTCTATCTGCATTTTGCAATATTATCATTGTTACGAATATTCGTTTTACTCTTTAAAAAATGTGATTTGTTTCAAGTTCTCATTAGTTAGGGTGTTTGATTATATGTGATATATGTTTTTCTGTTGAAATTCTCATTAATCTAGATAATGGGCAAATGCAAGAGCACCATTTGCTACAACTGCTATCTGGGATATTACCATGGGTTGATCCTCCTGATGTTGTGGCTAAGGCAATTGAATCTGGAAAAAGTGAAAGGTCATAGCCTTTAATTTTATTTGTTTTACTATTTGTTTTATTTTGCCTTTTATGTTTTGAAAGGAGTCTTACAGTTATTTTGGTTTTGTTCAGTGAGATGCTTGATGGTTGCCGTGCATTGTTATCTATTGCCACTGTAACAACCCCCTTCATATTTGACCAACTCCTAAAATCGATAAGGTGCGCTTCAAATATATATTTTGGGACTTGTTAATTATTTTTCCCCTTTATTTATCTTTGACTCGTGGAAGGATTAATACTTGGAATATGTCAAAGGAGGTGGCCTAATGTGTGCTTATCTACTAATTGGTCATTGGTGTGTGTTGTGCCTAACTGATGTTTGAAGTGTTGATCATCTGTTCGTCATTACTCTATTGCTTCAAGGTTGTGGTATAAGCTTTTCAAGGAAGCAGGAATTTCTTGAGTTAATTTGGTTTATGTTTCATTTTTATTTTTTATGGTTGAGCTTGTCTTTAATCATCTTCATGGGCTTTGGTTACCAAGGAATGTCATGACACCTCTTTCTTCTTTATTCACTCAAATTGAGATGCTGTTTTGCTTTGATTTTTGAGTTCTTTTTCGTATTTCCTTTTCAGATTTGTCAGGTTTTGTTTTCTGTTTATGTTTTTTAATTTCTTTTTCAATTAGATTGTAAGGTTGTGTTTTTATGGTGCACTGTTGGTTCGCCAAAATTTTACCTTCATTTCAACTAAATTCATGAATTGTCTCTGTTTCATAAATAATAAAAGTTAAAACAAAAGAGAGAGAGAGAGAGATTTACTTTTATGTTGGGGGATCTACAGTTATATTTTATAATGTAGTCTTAAAATGATTTTAGTTTTTGCCATGATGTTCAGGCCCTTTGGTACTCTTACCCTGCTATCAACCTTGATGTGTGAAGTTATTAAAAATCTTATGCTGAATAGCTCAGAAGAGGGGACATGGAGCTGGGACGCACGTGATATTTTGTTAGATACATGGACCACCTTACTTGTGGTATATGATTTTAACAAACTTTTGTGTTCATTTATCTTGTTGTTACTCTTTTACCATACAATGTTGTTTTAATTTCTTTCAATTTATTGGTTAATACCTTTTTCAAGGATAATTGCTAGTTTAGTTCAACCTGAATCTTGGAAATTAGTGTTCTTGTAAAGGTTGGAATTTCAGTTTACAGTTTATCATGATTGAGTTTGATCAAAAGTCATGCTTTTATCTGAAAGATGAAGTATTCTTTCTTCTTGGGTTTGTTTAGTAGTGGTCATCAAATCATAAAAAATAAATTGTTGGAATTCTTTTCAGTCAATTGATAGCAAGGAAGGAAATGCATTACTTCCATCCGAAGTGTTAAATGCTACAGCTAGTCTCTTTGCCTTGATTGTAGAGTGTGAGCTAAAAGGTAACTAATATGCTTCGCTGTTTATGTTTCTTTTTCTGCAGCATTTGCAATGCTACCATTCTCTCTATTACAAGTTCATTCTATAATTAATTTTTTTGTTGTATAGTGGCTTCTATGTCAGCAATGGATGACAACTTCAACTACGTTCAGGCTTCCATTTCTGGTATGTCAAAAGGCTCCAAAGACTTTCGTATAAAGTTTTCCCATCTTTTACCTTTTGTCATCATTGGATCATTGTTCTATATCTTTGTTTTATTTCCTTGCAGCCATGGATGAAAGATTAAGTTCTTATGCTCTCATTGCAAGAGCAGCAATTGATGCTACAGTTCCTCTACTCACGAGGCTGTTTACAGAGCGCTTTGCACGGCTTCATCAGGTGCTTTTTATATTTACATTACCATCATTTGGGGAACCAAGTGTTTGGCTTGTGGCTAATTGATTATAGTGAGGCTTTATTATGATGGTGCAACTGCAAATTGCTGCAGTATCCTTTGCATATCAAGGCATGATTATGCTACAATCATACTACAAACCATGAACCATTTGTTGAACAAAAAATGCTGAGATATGAATAAGGCTGTTTTTGGAAAGAGGAGAAAATAGTTTTCTATTTAAATCTTTTAGCGAGCAATTTATTTCACTTGAACTACAGTTCTGTAAACCACGAATAAATATTAGGAAAAATGTATTTATATTGGTGTAGATATATTAAGAACAAATGATATTATAAGTAATTAAATAGAAATCAAGAATTAGGAGATTTGTTACTCCACTAATATATATATGTATACACGCACACACAAACTGATGTACCTTAATAATTCTCTTGTAAATAAACGTACTAAGGATGAATATTCACACACACTTCTCATTCATAGCTTAAAAGGATACATATTTATATACACTTGTAGTGTTCTAAACTAGGTAGGTGATCAATCTCTATTAGGATACCAGGGATCCCTATAATCCAGGATTTAATGTGATCCCATAATCTAGGAAGTTATATCACTGTACACTCCCCCTCAGCGGAGTATAATATCAATCATACCCAGCTTGTTACAAAGATAATCACTCGAATCCCAGTTAGAGCCTTTGTGAAGATATCTCCCAATTGTTCTCCAGTCTTCACGTACCCAGTGGAAATCAACCTTGCTGTAGTTTCTTACGGACGAAATGGCAATCGATCTCAATATGTTTTGTTCGTTCATGGAACACTGGATTAGATGCAATATGAAGAACCGCTTGGTTATCACACCATAATTTCCTGGTACTGAAGTTTCAAGGCCTATTTCAGTCAGGAACTAATTTATCCACTTTATTTCACAAACAGCTTTGTCATAGCCCTATATTCCGACTCTGCCCTTGATCGTGACACGACATTCTGCTTCTTGCTCTTCCATGATATTAAATTTCCTCTGCCAAGACACAATACCGGATGTGACTTCTATCTACCTTGGAACCTACCCAATCTACATCTGAGAAACTTCAATATGAGATGACTATGATTGGCATATAATATACCACGTCCAGGGGCTCTTTTCAATAACACAAGATCTCCTCCAAAGCCGCCCAATGATGACTGGAGGGAGGCCATAAACTGACTGACAACCTTACTGAATATGCAATATCTGGACGAGTCATCCGTAATAGTTCAACTTCACTCGACCAATCTTCTATATTACTAGGATCTCCAAATAGTTCACCATCTTTGTAAGCTGCATATAGGAACCATCGAACACTACATGACTTTGCCCCCAATTTCCCTGTCTCAATTAATAAGTCGAGCACATATTTCCTCTAGAGAGGAATATACCTCGTTTGCTCCTTGTAACTTCAACCCCCAAAAATACTCAATATCTCTATGTCTTTTGTATGAAACTGGGTATGGAGAACAGACGTAGAGATGTAATGCCCACACTATCACTCCCGTAATAACATATCATCCACATACACAACTAGAGAATGATGTCAGTTTCAGACCGTTTGTAGAAAACAGAATGGTCAGTTTTACATTTCAGCATACCAACTCTCAACAGCCTAACTAAACTTTCCAAAGCAAGCACAAAGGCTCTGTTTTAACCATATAGAAGTTTGCGAAGATAACTACTTTTCCATACTCCCCGTGAGCAACAAACAAGAGGTTGCTCTCATATATACCTCTTCTGAAGATCGCCTTAAAAAGCATTCTTGATGTCGACCTAATGCAAAGGTCAATCATAAGTAGCTGCCATAGAGATAAACAGCTGAATAGGTGAACTTAGCCACAGGGGAAAAAGTATCAGAATATCAACTCCGTAGGTCTAAGCATATCCTTTAGCAACCAGACGAGCTTTTAGTCGAGCAACTAACCCATCTGGAGTAACTTTAACTTAAACACCCATTTGCATCCAATTGCCTGTTTTCCTGAAGGTAAATCTACCAATTTCCAAGTACCATTGTCATCTAAGGCATTCATTTTCTCTATCATTGCATTACGCCAACCAGGTGAGAAAGGCTTCATGAACAATTTTAGGGATAGTAATAGAATCAAGGGAAGCATAAAAGAGCTGATGAATGTGACAAATGATCATAAAACACAAGAAGAAACAGGATAAGTCACTGTTGTTTACCTTTTCGCAATGTAATAGGAAGATCATCACTTGAAACTGGATCAGATGACGAAGAAGTTGGTGCCGGACATGAAACAGAGGAGGTGGACGACGAGTAGACTTTGACAGGAGCAGGATCAGAGATAGGAGCCGATGAAGGAAGCGCAGGTATAGTGACAGGGTCAGAGACAGAGCCGGTTCAGTATTGGTGTAGGGGAAGTGAAGGTATAAAGTAACAAATCATCATTATCATCATCCTTCTGACGATCTGCAAGAGAGAGGGAAAGTATGGTGTTTCTTCTAGAAAGGCAGCATCAATGGAAACAAGATACTATTAGACTTGGACAATAACACCAATATCCTTTCTGAAGTCGAGAATAACCACTTGGGATCTAATTTAGTGACTGACAGTCAACATCCGAACAAAGCAAGTGCTACCAAATACCCTAGGCAGAGGAAATAATGTTTTGTTAGGAAAAGAATACTGTACGGAGTCTCACCATGAGGACAAAGACGGCATACGGTTAATCAAAAAGCGCGGTGGAAACTGCATCAGCCTAGAATGTTTTAGGAACATTCATTTGGAATAATAAGCTCTGGCAGTTTCAGAAGATGTCTGTTTTTCCGTTCTGCTATTCCGTTTTGAGATGGAGTATCAACACATGAAGTTTGATGAAGAATGCCATTCTAGTTATGTAATTTTGAAAAGAAACGACCAGATATCTTTTGCATTATCACTGCGCAATGTATGAACAGAAACATTGAATTGAGTTTTAATCTCAGTACAAAAAGCACAGAAATAAAAACAAATCAGAACATTTTTCATTAAGAATAACCAAGTTACAGAGTAATCGTCCACAAATGTAACAAAATATCAAAACCAGTTTTAGACAGAAATGGACAGGGATCCCAAACATTGAGTGAACTAATTCAAAGGGAGAATTAGCTTTTTATTGACTCTAAGACTAGAACTGACACGATGATTTTTACAAACACATGACTCACACTCTAATGTAACACTTTATTAAACTGAGGACACAATCTCTTCAGTGAAGGAAGAGATGGATGGCCAAACGACAATGTACTTGAAACGGGGATGCAACGCTAGAACAAGCACAAGTGTAGATTTTGGTCTGTCGAGAATATATAAACCTCCAGATTCGTATCTTTACCAATAATCTTATTCGTCGTAAGGTCCTGAAACAAGCAATAATGGGAAAGAATAAAACACAACAGTTAAGAGCACGAGTAAGTTGACTAACAAAAATCAAATTGAAAGAAAAATCTGGTAAATGTAAGACATTTGACAAGGGACGCTGTGGATAGGGTAACTGTGCCAGACCCAAGAACGTAGGATGGTGACCCATCTGCTAAAGTCACATTCGAAGGGTTTTTGATTGATAAGTAGCAAAGAGATTGGATTACCTGCATGTATCTATTGTACCAGAGTCAATTACGAATTTGGAGGATGAGGAAAGGAGACATGTATTTGGCTTACCTAAGTCAGTCATAGCCGTGACAGAAGTAGGTGAACTTTAATGATTCCTGGTACAATGAAAACTTGGCAAATTCATCTGCAGAGATAACTGACTGATCCGAAGTATCATTAGTGGATGCAACATGGGCAGAGGGATTTCTTTATTTCTGTTCTGAAGCTTTCTACAATCACGCTTCATGTTCCTGGCTTATGGCAATAGTGACACACAATTCCTCCCATATTCCTATTTGACCCTCCTCCTCTGTTGCATTCAATTGTGATCGCCCAGATTTAGTCATTCTTTTGACTGACGAAGCACACTAAACTAAACGGTGGGGTATCTTCTGTGCGAAGTACCCTACTAAAGACTCTTGCAACGAAGAGATCTCTAGACTAGCTAGAACTGAGACTTAGCAGTCTCAAATTCAGAAGGAAGACTTGAAAGAAACTCATGACTGCTATTTGCTCCCGTTGTTTTTGTTGAACTTTGACATCAGCACTAAAAGTACACCCTGTTCAACACTTCATAAGTCTTCTTAAACTCCATAAAATAAGTGTAAGAGACTTATCTTGTTTCTCTGCACGGTAGAATGCCTTACACACTTCATATATGAGAAACATTTCCTTTTCCAGAATACAGAAACTCCAAATAATCCATCATTTCTTTAATAAACTCACAATGATATTAGGCCAAGTACCTCACCGTCAATAGAGTTCCGTATTTGTAGAATCAACCGAGCATCATCCCGAGCCATGTCTTTTTCGAATCATCCTCAGGTGGTCATCGTCATGTGATCATCTTTATCAATACTCTCAAATACAGTATAATAGTTTTACCAATCATGGTAATTAGTTATACCATAGCTATCTTCTGTATTTTTCGACATCGTCGGTATCTTTTCATCACTGGCTTTGTATTAGACATGTCTTAAACAACGATAATCCCAATGCACACTAACAAACGTTTAAAACAAAGCAAACTAACAAATTTCAGTGACACACCAAATCAATTAACAGCCACCACCAACCAGAGGCCACACACAACAAAAATCCAATAAACAACGAAAACAAAGTGTCAAGATCACAACTAAATCCTCAGAATATCCAAACAAAGAACAGCAGTGAACCAGTAAGATTACCCACCCAGCACGAAAATGTGTGTACAAGTACTGGCGAAGCAGACGAAGAGAATCGGAGGAGACTTCAGCGGTGGACGTGCTATCACGCGCCGGCGCGTGGTACTGTTCACTAGGAGTTTCAGGTAGCCGTGGAGCTCACCCGCGGGATTCTGATGGCCGAAACTCGGGTTTGCTATTCGGCGGCTTCTGAATCTCCCTAGGGTGCGGTGTGGAACAAATCTCAACCTAAACAGGTGTTCCCAATTGAAACCCAAACCCTAATTTCCCAATTTTGAACCCAAACCCTAATTACCTTTTTAAAGCTCTGATACCATGTAAATAAACGTACTAAGGATATATTCACACACACTTTCCATTCATAGCTTAAAATGATACATATTTATTACACTTGTTGTGTCTAACTAAGTAGGTGATCAATCTCTATTAGGATATAAGTGATCCCTATAATCCAAGATTTTAATGTGATCCCTATAATCTAGGAAGTTATATACATCTGTAACACTCTTTAATATACTTTTACAGTCTTTTAAAGTAAAAAAATATACTATATAGTTTTTTTTGCACTATTTGCTAAAGATGCCTATTTTCTGATTGGCACCTGCTTTTTTATCTTGTTATTTAATTTGTCTGTAGGGCAGGGGCATGATTGATCCAACTGAGACTTTGGAGGAACTTTATTCATTGCTACTAATCACTGGACATGTACTTGCTGATGAAGGGGAGGGAGAGACACCCTTGGTACTTGGTCACTTTTTCTGCTTATTACTAAACTTTGCCATCTTAAATCAGCCACGTTTTATAAATTTTTTTATTTTATGTTCTCCGATGTTTACATGCTTTGCTCACGTGCATATCAAATCAGCCCCACTTTACAATATAATTTGTACATGATCTAGTGTTCATCTTAAGACACAACACAAGTTGATTATCCCCTTTGAAAAGTCAATATTTAATGCAGATTAAACTTTCTAACTTAATTTTACTCCTCCAAAATTAGCCTTGCATTAGCTTACTCTAAAATATAGGAAAATGCCAATGCGGTGAGATGGACTTGAGAAAGCCAAATAAATGCATCATCAGCAATTTCAATGGCAACAATTACTGGAGACCTGCTGAAATAGAGGAAAGTACAATTATGATTGGACTAGGAAGCATATAATGTTGACAGATTGAAGGACTTTCTTTTCTTGATAACTTTTGCCGTTTATATAACAAAATGCTTCTTTACCAGCTGTAAATTATATAATTCAGTTGCAGTGTGCTGAAGTGTCCTCTCTGCATTTTGGAAAAGATTGCTCTATTTTGGATAATCAGTAACTAATTGGTAGTAATTGATGATGAGCTACCATTATAATCACAGAAAATCTCCTCAATTCTTTTCATCTGTTTCTTCTTTCTTCTTGAATTTCGATTGCTTTTTTAGAACTTAACAAGTTGAATGCATGTGCTAGACTATTATTACTCTTGAAACAGAAAAGTATCGTCTTAGCTTCTCCTTTTATCATTATTTGATTATTTTATTTTATTTATTTTTGTTTATAAAAAATGAGTTAATATAAGACTAATTTTACATAAGTAAACAAGAAATCCAGTGAAAGACTAGCATGAGAAAGAAAAAAATCTGTATGCCGAAATTTGTCAAGTAAGCAAAAGGTGCATATTTTATCCACCCAGCTTTCGGAAACTTAAAATGTACAGGACTAACTCGCTTTTCCCTCTCAATTTAAATGAATAAAAACAGAAAGAGGAATCTCAAACCTTTTAGACATTGAATTCCAAGGTGAAGCTGAAAAAAAACCCTATCCGCCTATTTTCCAAATCTTTTTTTAGCATTTCTTGTATATGGCTGATTGTCTCATTCCAGATAGCTGTTTGCTGCATTCCTGGTTGTGCATAAATGTGATGAATTTTGGATTAACTTCTAAACGTTACTGTATTTGAAGCCAGCATCTTGTTACCTGGAATTCTATTTATGATTTTTACTTTGTGATAATCAGGTTCCAAATGCTATACAAACTTGTTTTTTGGACACCTTGGAAGCAGATAAACATCCAGTTGTCATTCTCTCCGGGTAATCTTATGCTCATTTTCACTCACCTATACAACTGCCAAACTGAACCAATTTATCAAATTTTATTCAGTTTCAAGTTTGGAGCAAGAGATGCAATAATTTATGTGGTGCTTATTTTTATTTGACGCAGCTCAATTATAAAATTTGCTGAGCAGTGTTTAGATCCAGAAATGAGATTATCAATTTTCAGTCCTCGACTTATGGAGGTACCTTATTGTTTTAATTTTCTGACCTTAAAATTTGCTACTTCACCCGTTCTGCAAATATTACTACTGGCATGAACCCATGTGTGATAGGTTGTTCACATGCTTTATAATAGTTCCAATGAAGTTGATACATGAAGCCTGTCCTTTATATGGTGGAGATCCAATGGTGGTGGGAGACTATGATTGAAATTCTTGGATCCCTCTCTCATTCTGTAAACTTTATTCTTGTACTAAATGGCTTTGCCATAATGGAATTAACAATTATTATGATGGGGTGTTATTTTTTAAAATTTTGATTAATCTATGGTCATGTTATGCCATGTTGGCTTACTTGTTTGAGCTGATGCCATATGCAGGCTATTGTATGGTTTCTCGCAAGATGGTCCCAGACATATCTCATGCCTTTTGAAGAAATTAGAGATGGTTACAGCAATTTTGGTCATGATTACGAACATCAGCTTCAGTCATTACATTCCAGGAAAGCTTTGCTTAGTTTTTTTGGAGAACATAATCAGGGAAAGCTCGTGCTTGACATTATTGTTCGTGTTGCTATAACGACACTTGTTTCATATCCTGGCGAGAAAGATTTGCAGGTCAACATATAGAACCTTTTCCTCTATATTTTACATTTATTAAATGTCTGCTATATCTTCCTCTTGTTTGCTTATGCTGTATGTTGAGAGGTTTAATAAGTGAATCATTATATATAGACAGTTTGAAAACTAATTTAAGTTGCATTTTGCATCAATGACTTGACATAGTTGAATAATGAAGTGGCTTTTTAGCCTTTAAATGATGTACAATAAGTTTCTCATCAAAAAAAGAAAAACATGCCGTCATTTATGAAAATGGAAATAGTTTCTTTGACTGTGGCTCATGATGCTGTCAAATTATTGAATGTGCTCATAGATCTTATTTACTGTCCAGGGAAAGAAAATGCTTTGGATATTGACCTTATTATTATATGCTTGACAGGAACTCACATGTAACCAGCTACTACATGCACTGGTTCAAGGAAAAAATATTTGTTTACACCTTGTTGCACTGGTGAGTCATAGGCTTCTCTGTAGTTTTGAATACAAAACCCACTACTTTGCTTATCATTTCCTTTTCTTCTTTTTCCTGATGAGTTACACACTTATCTGTAATTTAAGATGCCTTTATTATTTCTCTTTTTTCCTAACAGTGTTCACAAAATTACTTTTAAGATGATTATGAGATACATTAGGTTAACAGCAAATGTTCAAGTCTCATGAAATCACATCCTGAATAGTGCAAAAGCGTTAATGGAGCCAAGTCTAAACATTTTACATTAGGTATTGTTGAGCACTTGACTAGTGTGGTTATATTGAGCATGCAGGGGTCTCATTTCTTACTTAGTGTCATGCATTTTGTATTATTATGACTCTAATTCAAGAATGAGGTGTTCATCCTAACCAGCAAGTTGATGATCCGAATGAATACGTAAATCTGAAATTGCTAATTTATTTGTCAAGTGAAGAAGGCTAATAAAGTGCCTTACTAAATATCATAGTAATTTTGCCATTGCAGTACTATTAGTGATGCTTTATTGGCCTAGGTTACGATTACATCATTTGAAATTTGGGCGATGCTGTTATCTGGTTAAGCTATGGCATCTGATATCTTTTAGTGGCAACCTGAAATAAGAGTATGTGATTTGCCATATATTACCTTGTATTATACACTCGTACAGAGCTTTTTTACATGAAAGCAGTTTATAAAGGGATATTGGTCCCTGGACTGATTCCCATAGTCACAGGAAGTTGGTTTCTTTAGGTACCTAAATTTATATGGAACTGGAAGGGCCTACTTGTTAATGTTTTTCATCACATCAGAAGACTTTAAGCCAAGAAATGAAGAATGAGTGTATACTATTTCTATTGTTCTGTAACCGTTGATACCAACAGGCTAAGTTTAAGAAAGGGCTAAATAGTAACATTTAAAGTTGTTGGTGTTGATGGTTGATTGACTTTAAAGCTGTTTGGTTCAGTGCATTTTTACTTCATATGGTGCAGAATGACCAAGACTATCTTGGTAGGATAATCTATATTGGCCATTTGACTTAGGCATTGAAAATAATGAACAATTCATTTATTGAATAGTAGAGAACTCAACTCGACTAAATCTTAATTCTAAATAAATGAAACAGGCTGCATGAATCCTTCTGCACCACCCTTTGGTCCGAAGTGTCTGGACAACTTATTGAAGAAGAAATCTTTTACATGACACTTTCTTTTTAATCGAATTTTGGTTGTATACTGTAGTTACTTATGTTGATATGTATTGCAGGATTCATGGCGTGAACTGGCAAATGCTTTTGCTAATGGTAAAACTTTGTTTTTGTTAAATTCAACCAATCAGGTGAAACTGCTATCTGATATCCTTCTATAATTCCCTGATTTGTTCAGTTATTAGTTTTTTGCCCCTTTAGTAACTATAATTCTTTCATGCTTCTCCAGCGTTCACTAGCTCAAACACTTGTTCTCTCAGCTTATGGAATGAGAAATGCAGAAGCATCAAATCAGTGAGTCTTCCAGTCAGCAGTTATCCTTGTGCGTTTCTTGTCTGCTTTTAGATTTTATGCCACTAATAACCTGACATAATTTTTCTTAGATATGTACGGGATCTTACTAATCATATTACGACATATCTAGTAGAATTGTCTAACAAGAATAATCTCAAAAATGTGGCACAACAACCAGATGTCATTCTTTCAGTAAGTACATGAGTTTTCTGGTTTAAAATATTGTGAATTCATGGATATCTTGAGGGATAATTTTTCCTTCGTTACATCTCACATCCTGTAGGTCAGTTGCTTGTTAGAGCGGCTCCGTGGAGCTGCCAATGCCACTGAACCTCGAACACAGAAGGCATTATATGAATTGGGCTTCTCTGTAATGAACCCTATTCTGCTTCTTCTTGAAGTTTATAAACACGAGGTATTAAACATTTCCCTGTGCATACTTTTCTTTGTCAAAATTAACTACAAATGGTTCCATCATGCACTTTTTAGTTTCACATCCTCCAAAAAATTGCCTCAAAATTTATTGTTTCAGTCAACAATTAACATCAAGTAGAACTCTTGTCGTTTATATATAAATGATTGATTGCTATATTCATCTCAATCAGTTGTTACTTGTTTTTGCCAAACTCTTCACAAATATTCTTGTCCACTATTCTTTTTATCTTGCAAACAGGATTTTAGTTTTTCTAATTAAAATTTTAAATCTCCTATGATTTCAGTTTATGTTGGTGAATTAAAATCAATTGTACTTTTACTTTCTGTTCTTGAAATTTAATCTGCAATCATCCTAATATGTTTTAAAGGTTGTAGTTCATTTACAAGTACTAACTTCTGATTGTTTCTTAGTCTGCAGTTGTTTATCTGCTACTTAAATTTATTGTTGACTGGGTAGACGGACAAATTTCTTACCTAGAGGCTCAAGAAACTGCTGTTGTTGTAGATTTTTGCATGCGTTTGCTTCAACTTTATGCATCTCACAATATCGGCAAGGTAACTTTTTTGGCTACCTGTGGTGCTCGTATAAAAGCAATGCTAGTCTAAAGATACTGGTGAAAGAGTATAAAGTAAGCTTTATCATTGCATCTGATTCTGGCTGTATTTTTTACTCTTACCATTGGTAATTAAGTTGCATTTCTACTTTTCAAGGCTGCTCATTTGAATTGTATTTCTATATGAGAATTAATTATTTTTGGCTTCGATGCATTTGGTTTGAGCCCAAATAAATTGTAACTTTCAAACTCTCTACCCTCTTTTAAAGAAGGTGATTGATGAATTGAGAATACGAAAGCTGTCCATTTTAGCTCCGTATGCAGGTTCTGTTTTATTGTAAGTACTTGTCTCAGGACTTGCTGCCTCTATGGATCACCATGAAATAGTTCAAGCAATAGGGAATATCATAGAAATCCATGAAAGATAGTTTTTTAAGCCAACCTCCATCCAAGATTTCATGTTGTCCTAGATGGTTGACTGGTTTGTGATATATAGACACCTAAACAAATGTAAAAGCAATAGACTTTGAGTTTAAATCTCCTTACACCATTAGCACACATGTACTTGTTCATATATATATGTAAGGGAAGGCATATTATGTTTTAAGCGATATAAACCAAATTAGTCTCATTGCTTTACTGACTTACAGAAAGCTAAAAATGACTGTTGCCACGTCTGTAGACATCTAATATTTTTCTTTTTCAAATTGTCTTTCATTCACCATTCTTCCAGGTTCTAATGACTCTCTCAAGCAGCTTACTTAATGAGGCAAAGACTGAAAAATACAAAGATTTGCGTGCTCTTCTTCAACTTCTCTCAAGTCTCTGTTCAAAAGATCTAGTAAGTTTTTCTTTATCTTGTAACATGTTTATTTATAACCTTGGGAGTGGAATTTCCATGTCATTTGTATTAGGCTTCTAGTGAAGCTTGTTAAATTTCAAGAAACAATTAATATTGCAGGTTGACTTCTCGTCAGATTCCATTGAAGCTCAGGGCACCAATATATCTAAGGTAAATTTATATTTTCAGTCCTCTTATGAATCCCATCAATAGTGCCTGATGTGTTGATCTTGTAGGTTGTTTTCTTTGGTCTACACATTGTCACCCCTCTTATATCCTTGGACCTGTTGAAGTACCCCAAGCTTTGTCATGATGTAAGAGTTCTCTCCTTTGGTGGAATGGCCATAGTGTTATCCTTGGGAAGCTGATTTGCTGTTTTTTTGTGCAGTATTTCGCATTGCTTTCTCATATGTTGGAGGTTTACCCCGAAACTGTTGCCCAACTAAATACTGAAGCTTTAGCTCATGTACTTGGAACTCTTGACTTCGGTCTTCACCATCAGGTAAACGTCTGTCTATTGTATTAGTAATGATGTTAATCTTTTATGAAAATGTTTAGTACTGCTCACATTTTCTTTTAAAAAAGTATCCTTCTTTGTGATTGACATAGTTAAAGGGAAATATGCATGTTGTATATGCTGAGCAACATGGCCCTTTATGGCCCTCTGCTCATATTTGGCATCAGTCATTGATATGTATCACCATGTAAATTTGTTTTGGGCTGCTTTCAGAAACATTGAATCAGTTTGCCTAGAATATGTAGCTGAGCTTTTTCCTCTTTTTATATCAATGCTACAGGACTCAGAAGTTGTTGATATGTGCCTGAGAGCTTTGAAAGCTCTTGCCTCCTTCCACTACAAGGAGATGAGTGCTAGTAAAGTAGGCTTGGGTGCACTTGCTGCTGGTCTCAAAGATTCAAATGGAAATCCACAGGAAGGGATTTTGAGTCAGTTTCTTCGTTCATTGTTGCAGTTACTCCTTTTTGAGGACTACAGGTAAATTGTTGTCTTTTGTGTTATTATATAAAGTTACAGTAATCTTATATTAAAAATGGTATGGTGTTGTCTATAGTAGTTGACACTCTTTATCTGCAGACATGCAGTCTAAACATAAGCATGCATATTAATTTTAATTTTGCTTCTTTGTACTTGTACCTTATAAGTCAATTTTTTCTGAGCATTCAGCCCCGATCTGGTCAGTACTGCAGCAGATGCTCTCTTTCCATTGATCCTCTGTGAACAAGGTTTATACCAGGTATAACCTAAGCTGTTTCTGTGATCATCAAAGTCATTTGAAGTTATCATGTAATTCTATGACTTGAAATCTGTTTACTTATTACAATCTTTCAGTACTTTTTTGTTTAGTGATGAAATTCTTGTAGTAAAGAACTTTTATTCATTATAAGAAAAAGTGTTACACTGAAATCTTCACGTAGCTACCGATGCTTCCCTCATATGAAAGACTATTTTTAGGTTGAAGAACCAGTTTTAAGAACTACTGGTATATTCCTCCTTTTTCAGTCAGGTGAAATTGGATTGTAATCCTTAATGACGGGATAGTTTCTTAGAACTCTGATGAGTTGCACTGAATGAAGATATCAAGTTATATCAAGTTATATCGCTTTGCTGTTTCTATAGCTAACTGAATTAGTTTACATTTGTGCCTTACAGCAGCAGAATGGAAAATTATTAATCAGAAAAATATCAGTCAATGAATTATGTTGTAAAAGTCTGTTATATGAATGTTTTCTAAGAGGATTTTTGATCGTTTGTTGGCTGCAGAGATTAGGAAATGAATTGATTGAAAGGCAGGTAAATCCAACACTCAGATCAAGACTGACAAATGCATTGCAGTCCCTAACGAACTCAAATCAGCTTTCTTCTACTCTTGATCGTGTGAATTACCAGAGATTCAGGAAGAACCTAAACAACTTCCTGATTGAAGTTCGTGGATTCTTACGGACAATGTGATATGTGCAATCATATGTATATATGTTGGAAAAAACTTTTTGTTCTCTCATTGTTACTGTTGTGAGATTCAGAAATTAAAGGAAGCATCCATTTGTCACAGCCATCATTTTCAGGCATTGCTTGTGCATATTCCCGGAATGCAATTCAGCTGGTAAAAGGTGGAGTCAGGTGATTGATGCAGGCTTTGTAGAGCAATTTGAAGTGAATTATCACAGTGAGAACACTTTCTCTTACAGCTCTCATCATGGTTTTGCATGTTGATATCACTGCAGTTTAGCGAAAACTATCTGGAAAGCTTTTAGTGTGTTTGCCTGGTATCTGTTATGCTGCCATATAGGTCATCCAGAATCTTGCACCTGTTGAAAAAGGTCAGCAGACGCTGGATATGACTATATGCTGTGAACTAAAACTGGATCTCCTGGAGCTAGACTCTCCCAGTCAGTGATGGGCAGTGGGAAGTGGGAACGTTACCAGGCAATTCATTCTTGACCCTGCAGGTTCCTTTTACTTTTTCTTTGTTTCATTTCGATTCTTTTTGAGATGCCAAATTTTTATTGAGCTTATGTTGTTGAATTTATAGTAACAGCATAACCCCATTTATTTGTTTATAGAGTAGATTGGTTGTTAAGTATATGGGGGATTGATAGCAATAGAGATTACAGTCAAATAAGAGTTCTTACTTATAAATCTACATAAAGATTTCCGCTAATCAAAGCAGGCACTAATATGAGCCGAAATGCACAATATGATAAAATGTAAAGCGAATGTAGGAGAGTTATATGAAAACCAAATTTGTAGAAAGAAAATTCTAATAGCAATCAATTTATTAATGATAATTTCGTTTGGGCACTTGGAATTTAAATTAAGGTAAAGATTGACTGTCTCAATGGGGTCTCTTGTCCTGGTCGGAGGAGAAATTACCAATCATCTAGCATTTTCTCACGCTTAAACGTTTAATACCAATGAGTTTTATATTTGAGAGGAAATAGAAGACTATACCTTCACCATATTAACTATTAAAATTCAGTAATAATAGCTATGTCCAAATCTTAAGAAACAAGGTTCTTAATTATGTACCGAGAGAGTAGTATAAGCCAAATGTAGGGTATTTATGACCTTATCTTTCTTATCTTAGGCCTATTTCAGGCTTTCAGCGTCGCAAACTTTTTTTCACACTAGAGGGTTATTAACAGGATTTATGGCTTTATTAATAAGCATAAATGTTAGTAACTAAATTCGCATAAATGATGTCAAAACTCAAAAGGTTGCTTTAATATTTGAGTAATACTACATTTACAAATAAATTTTACAAAGATCTTCATACAAAATAATGTGGCAAAAAATGAATAGAAGAGTAAATTTAATGAGTTTTATTTTTTGTTTCACTCTTTCAATTATTTTTTGCTACATCACTTTGTTTAGAAATCTTTGTAAGATTTTTTATAAGTATAGTATTATTGTTAATATTTACTAATATTGTTCTCTCATTGGAGTGAGAAGGAGCAAAGGAAATGTTTTGTAGCATCATTCCTTGAACTTTAATTTTCCCGAAAGGTCCTAAAACAATTGTTTATGTAAGGTTTTTCAAAAAACACCATGTTCCCACCCAAAGTTTCGCAAATGTACAAGTTCCCACCCCTAGTTTCATAAATCCCCAATTCACACCCTTAAATCAACACCCTTATTGATTTTTGGGATTTAATAAGTGCTATTATTAAATTACTCTCGACAGATAAATTATTTTTAACCTCAAAATTAGCAGAATTACCCTTAAATCAACACCCTTATTGATTTTTGGGATTTAATATTACTCTCGACAGATAAATGATTTTTAACCTCCAAATTAGCAGAATTAAAATGACCATCTTATTTTCAAATTTATTTCAACAACACCCCCTTCTTCAACCATTCACTTCATCCCCATCTCCAACCACCCAGCCATTGCCGCCACCGCTACCCAGCCACTATCACCATCCAGCCAAATTAATAAAATATAGTATGAAGTTTAGTAAATCCAATCAATCCATCATTTCCTAATTTCTTCCTAAATCACAATGGACTCTATGCTGTGCTAACAAACCTCCTATTGTTCTCGCTCTCGACTTGCTGTGATTTTAACCTTTGAATTTTTTTCTCTAATGCCTCCAATTCCACTCATTTTTCCTCACCCAAATTCATCTTTAACTCCGCCCCCTCCGCATTCCAAGTCTCTGTAGTATGATTCCTGCTATGCACAACATCTATTCTATGTAAATTCTTTATTAAAAAAAAATTAACATCTCCCATTTTATTTCTTAAATTATTTATTCTTCTCGTAATTTTGAGAGTAGGATAGTGGTATTGTTCACAAGGTTAGATTTCTTATGATGGCTTGAGGAAGAAAATATATTTATGGATAAATGTTTTGAGAGGGTTGGGTGGTGGCTTTGGGTGAGGAATTTTGTCAAACAGGTGGTGGGCGGGTTGGCTATGGGAAGGTTGGAAATGATGAGGAATCGCCGACGACCAGGTAATTACACACAACACACACAGATCAACACCAAAAAAATCCGAGGATTTGTAGAGACTTGGAATGCGAAAAGATGAGTGGAATTGGAGGTATTAGAGAATAAAAGAGAGAGTTTTTGATGGAAGTGTTGGGGTGTTCGGTGGTGCCGATATCTGGCTAGATCAGGCCTGAAACGGCGGTTGAATGGGTGGAGTGGGTCACGGGAACGATGCAAATCCAGCCAGAAAAATTCATATGCTTAACAAGGCTACGACGTGAATTCTTTTTGATGGATGAATAATGTAATTTACAGTTCTCAATTTTTACAGGATACCATTTCATATTTTTCATGGTTCTATCGCCATGGAAGTGTTCTTATCCTTTTTAATTATTATATATATGTAGAAATGATAGGCTTACACAGAAGAATATAAAGAAAAATATACAAAGACAAATCTTACCATTTTTATGATTGTCTTTCTCTCTCTCTTTTTCTTCTTTTAAGGGTACAATTTATCTTTGTATGGTTGTCTTTGTATTCTTTTTTGTAAGAGTAGTATTTCTCTTTTATAGATATAGTGTTAATATCTCACCTGTTGAGATTATTCCAAATTAGTAAGGAGTAAACGAGAAGGAGAGAAGAAAAAAGAAAGGCTTAGATCTGGCTAGTGAAAGAAATTTGATATGTAAAGGGTTAAGGTAAAATTTTCATTTTTATTTAAGATTTAATGTAGTTTAAATTACCATTTTACCCTTTAAACGTTAAATTAAATGATATTCTGTTAATTTAAGGGTGGGAATCTGGATAAATGAAACCAAGGGCAAGAACTGAAAATTTCACTAATCTTTGAGTGAGAACCAATGTTTTTAAACCCAACTTGGGGTGAAACCTAGTGGCGGATCCAAGAATTTCACTTAATGGGGGCAGAAAATAAACGGAAAAAAAATTAAAACCAATCATATTCAGACTTTTTTTTCATTATGATGAGCTTCAACAAAAAGTTACAAAATACAAATAAATATCTTCAAAAAACACAATTTTTGTAAAAATAAAACAATTTTTCTACAATTGTCCTCGACAAGTTTTCATATTCCGAAAATGTTGGATAATTATCTCATCATCAACTGTATCAAATACATCTTTCTCAATATAAGTAACCAAGCAATCATTCATTTATTGATTTTTCATTCGATTGTGTAACCAACTTTTCAAAAGATTCATTGTAGAAAAAGTTATTTCAACGATCACAGTCGCAACTAGTAAAACCAATACAAGTTTCACAAGTTTATAAACCAACGGATACAAAATGTATTTTTTAAGCTGAACTAAAATCTTAGCTAAATCACCAATTCCTTCTAACTCAGCAAAATTCATCACAAGAAAGCTTGTTAATAAGTCCTTGTATGGTTCTCAAGTACCATCAACTCAAGTACAGAAAAATCAGTTAGATAAAACTGGGCAAAACAGATCAACTTATGCTTGTCAAAAGCAGAGAATGAAATACTTGGATCTAAACATGTCATACAAAGAAGCAGCTCAGTACTAACCTTAGTGAAACGAGTGTTAAGTTTTTGAAGTTGCATATCTATCACTGTATAAAACAATTCAACTCGATAGTGATGCAAATTTTTCATGTGCTCAACTCTTTTTCGTGGCCGCCTTCGAATTGCAAACATATCATCCATATTCAAAATGACAATATCATGTTTTTGGCAAAATGAAGAAATTTCACTCAACAAAGATTTCTATCTTTCATCTCTCAAAAATTGTAACCGTTGTTTTGGAGACTTTGACTAAGGCTATAGCATTTACAATGTCTTGATCTTTTCTCTGCAATGCTTGTGACAACTCATTAGTAATTGCCAATATATTTTTCATCATATGCAAGCTAAATGCAAAATCAAAAGAATAGATTACGTCTAATAGATTTAGGGGTTAAATCAAATCAAGTCGAATATTTGGTAAATCAAATTCAACTCGATCTCTATAGTACCAAGTTCGAGTTCCAGTTCAAGCCTGATCGAACTTGAGAAATCAAGTTCAAACTCGAACTCGATACTTGAAATTGGAAATCGAGTTCGAATTCAAGTTCGTATAATTGAGCTTTTTTCGAGTTTTAGTCGAGTTTTATTCGAGTTTAAGTTCGAACTTGATTTCAAGCTCATCTAACAGGGGTGGATTTGCAAATTTTATAACTTTTAAATTACATATAACCTCTATTACTTTAAAAACTGTCAACTTAACTATCGAGCTTGAAAATACTCGCGAATATATTGAGTCGAGTTTTACTCGATTAACTACTCGAACTCGACTCGACTAATGTAGAGTCGAGTTCAAGCCAACATCAAGTATAGTTTGAGTGGCTCGTGAATGGCTCGACCTGATTTTCACCCCTAAATAGACATGCTTCACCCGTTTGTTCAGGATTTAAGCCATTGCATGCAAACCCAAAAGCTCTCATTCCTTTCATTTTCACTCCCAATAAAATTTTTAAAAACTAATAGATCCCCTTGCATATAAATAAAAATCACAAAGAATATGTAATAAATATATTAGAATTAAAAACGGGGTTTTACAAAAACAAAATCCAAACTTACCGTGGGGGTCG